ATCCGGAAAATGAGCTCTTAATCGTATAATTTGAGCAAGGAGTTTAGCAAATGCTAAATTTCTAGTCGATAAAAGACTAACATGTGACCAACGTGTTGAAGCATCAATCAACACCATAAAATATCGAAATGGTCCACATGGCGGGGCTATCGGCCCACAAATATCTTCTTGAATCCTTTCTAAAAATGCAGGTGATTCAGTTGCAATTTTGGTCATAGAAGGCCTGATGATCATTTTGCCAAGAGAACAGGCCTTACAAGGAAAATCACTTGATAATGGAACCCTGATATTCTTTAATGGGTGTCCAAGTGAAGTCTTAATGATTTTATGCATCATTACTTGGCCTGGGTGACCTAAACGGTCATGCCACAACATGAATGTTTTCTGATCATCTAACTTTGTGTTAGAAACCAAATTTATTTCAAATGGACTAATATAAGTGAAATATAGTCCTGAGGAATATGCTGGCAATTTTTCACAAATATATTTAGTGCCAGATTTAGTTGTCGTAAGATAAAGATATTCCTTTTGGTTTTCATTCATGGTTTCTATGTGATAACCATTTTGACGCATGTCTTTAAAACTTAATAAATTTCTCCGCGATTTGCTGGAGTATAAAGCGTCATTTATAATTATTTGGGTCCCGTTAGGGAGCATCACATATGTTTTCCCAGAGCCTTCAATGAGCTTCGCAATACCAGATATTGTATTCACTTTAGCTTCAACTAAAGTCATTTGAGAAAAATAGATTTTATTCTTCAAAATGGTGTGCGTTGTGGCGCTGTCTATCAGACATAGCTCTTTATCACTTGAGTGATCCATATCTTCAATATATGTAAATAAACATAAGCTTGACCACAAATTATGCATATTATTTAACATAAGAGTACATATATTACACACATTTATTTAAAAACAAGATAAAAAGGGGAAGAGAGAAAAAGTACATAAAACTAGTATTTTACAATATCATGAGTCTAATATTTTATTTTGTAGCATTTTGATTAATGGCAAAAGCATCGTCCATAATAGCATCATCCACGAAGAAGTCGAACACGTCAAATTTTTGCAGAGGTGGAGTTGTGTCATTAACATAATTAGCTTCCACACTTTTGCCTTTGTTCAGATTCATGGAAGCTTGAAATAACTCCACCAGATGTTTAGCCGTGCGACATTTATTAGCCCAATGCCCCGTCATGCCACATTTATAACAAGTCGACTTTCCCGAGGATTTTGGAGGGCGATTTATTTGATGGGCTTTTTGTTTGCCCTTGCCCTTGTAATTTGGTCTTTCGACCTGTTTGTATTCTCGGTGTGACTTGTTTTTATGACCATTAAAATGCCCACGTTTAAAATGCCTTCTACTGCCACTGTATGTTGCATTTGATTCAGTGGCTAAATTATGGCCAGGTGGACCATAAACCGAAGGACTAGAACCAGTGGGTCTCAGATTATGATTTTTCATCAAAAGGTCATTATTTTGCTCAGCGACCAGTAAAACTGATATAAGGTCAGAGTATTTTTTAAAACCCTTTTCTCTATATTGCTGCTGTAGCAGCATATTAGAAATATGCATTGTAGAAAAAGTTTTCTCCAACATATCAGCATCAGTGACTTTTTGTCCGCATAACTTTAGTTTAGATGTTATTTGGAACATGGAAGAATTATAGTCACTGATTGATTTAAAATCCTGGAATCTTAAATTGATCCAGTCATACTGAGCTTTTGGCAAAAGTACCTTTTGCTGGTGGCCATACCTCTCTTGTAAATTGTCCCATAATTCTTTTGGATCATCAACCAAAAGATATTCAGATTTGAGACTTTCATGGAGGTGATGACGGAGGAAAATGATAGCTTTCGCTTTGTCTTGGGAAGATGATGGCTTATTTGCCTCAATAGTGTCTTCCAGACCGTTGGCCTTTAAATGTGCTAAAGCATCCACTTCCCATTCCAAATATTTTTGACCGGACAAATCAAGAACGTCGAATTCTCTTTTGCTTATGTTTGCCATAATACTACAAGAGTTATAGACATTTATTACTAAACATTTTACAAAATGTAAATAAATATGGTATCATATTCATTCATAATATACGTAAACTTTAATAATGTACGTGCCCTTTTATATAAATATGTATTCATTCATTTCAATATTATTAAAATTAAATGTGCACCTGTGTAAATTATACTATCGGTACTAGTAATAAGGATTTCTCAACTCTTAAGATTCAGTTTAATTTTATTTTTAGAATTCAACCTATTTTATTTTTTATACTCCTTCGGCTTTCATCTTCATTGCTCCATGTTATTTCAGAACTACTCATTATATGTAGTACAAGTATTAACTAATACGTAGTACTATACATATAGTATTAGGGAGTAATGAATTTCATCTAGTTTAAAATTAAACAATCGCCTCTTGGACAGGTTATTATATTTGTTTTCTTATGACCCGTGAATATACTTCGTAAAACACACATGCAGCAGGTTGACAACTGTCCAGTGCACTAATAAAGTCTGTATACTTCTCGATTTAAGACCCGTGAATATCCATCTCTAACATAAATTGGAACTCATACTCCACCGCCTGCTATTTTATCATCTCATTTCTTCCTACATTGGCCGACTCTTTCCTTAAGTCAATACTTATCACAGAAATTTGAAATTTCAATTTTAGTTCTCTATCTTTCATTCTATCACGTACTCCTTATAAACAATATCCAACCACTATTCTATTTATATTTCTCATTTTCAACTTCTGTATTACTGGGTATTCTATGGTGGAGTATTATGACTTATCTTTCGTAATTAAGTCAATTTTCTCTTCTCCTGTTAGAGTTTTATCAAAATTGATTGAAGAAATCAAACTGTTCAGAGGTATGTTATCTATATTTTCTTTCCGTATATGATAGAAAATTTATTTAAAACATAGAATAATTTTCAGGTTTGAATACTAAAAGAAGATAATAAATATTGATGCTAATACCTGCAGGAGATGATGATTTCTTGAAGAGTTTTGAGCAGTTTCGTGCTGATAACGTGTTGTAAAATGAAGAAGATGAAGACTTAAATAAAGAGATAGATATATTGATAAAAAACCTCTAAATCACTTCTTCTTAATATAACTGATAATTTCTGAGTTTCTAAGTACATTTACAAGGCATCACCAAACCCCTATTTATACTGATGGAGCTTGGTGATGAATTATCAAAGAATCATTCTACATACTATGCTGGCAACATTAAACCTAGCCATCTGTTTATTACAAGGATGGAAATTGGATTAGTGTCCTGATGACAAGGATGAACAATTCACACTTGTCATTCTCAGGAATTTACAACACCTTCTTCTTAATTAACGTCTATTTTGTTATATACTCCCTTCATAGATTTTTCATGTAATTCAGGGTCTGTGTGCAAAAGTTTTAAAAAAAACTCTTCCTGACTTTTGGCTTAAAAAAACTGAAATCAGTGTTATCATAAAAAAATGCTTCTCGGCTTTAGGCTTAAAACTGCTTTTTACTTTTTCTATTACACAAAAAACATATAGTTTATCAAATACTATCAACTTTTACTTTTCAAAAGCACTTTTTCTCGAACACTATCAACTTTTACTATTAATCAATTTTCCATAATCACTTCAAAAAGTATTTTTTTAAAAACAAAAACATTTGCAAACACTCCCCTAATACCCCGTATAGTATATAAATTTTTGGTATATAAAAGTAGATTTTTTTAATACCTCGTATAGTATATAGATTTTTTTGTAGGAATGTAAAAAAAAACCGACCCGCAATGACCCGCCCTGGCCCGAGACATTTGGGGCGGGTCCGCCCCGCCCCGCAAATACAATGGGGCGGGTCCGGGTATTAGAATTGACCCGTACCGCTCCGACCCGCTCAATATATAAATATACATACTTTTTCTTAACTTATACTACAAATATACTTCAACATACATATGTGTGTATACAATTAATCATAAATTCTTTGATCTTATAATATATGAATATATATTAGAATGAGATGCACGACGGATTATCAATGTCTTCTTTATATATATATATATATATATATATATATATATATATATATATATATATATATATATATATATATATATAGAATTTTAATACATTTATTCAATTATTAATATAACTAATTAGATTAACTATTCAAGTTTGAGTAATTTTTTCTTAATTTTTGAAATTTGTAGCATATCATGAATTTGATTTAATATATTGAGTTTTAATTATTATTTAGAGATGAACATTATGTAGATTCAATTGGTAACAACTCCCTACAAATAAAAATAAAAACTAGCTAATTAGGTTGCGGCGGGGCGGACCCGCCCCGCCCGCCCCGCATGGGGCGGGTCATGGGTCAACAAGTTTGGACCCGTGCAGGTCACGGGGCGGGGCGGACCCACCCCGCCAAGTCACGGGGAGGGTCCGGGTCTTGCAATACCCGCCCCGTCCCGACCCATTGCCATGCCTACTTTTTTGTATATAATAGTAGAATTCTTTTTTTTACTACAACAATAACTTAGGATGTTTTCTTTTGGACTATTTTCAGTCGCAAACCAGACCAGATCAGACTTCTGTAATTATAAAATACAGAGAGACCAGACGTTTACCAGACTAGACCAATTCAGACCAGACTTCTGTTGTTATAAAATACACAAAGAGCAGACGTTTATCAGACCAGACCAGTTCAGACCAATAAATTTCAATCCAAAAACACCCTTATACGTACTCTATCATACTGTATCAAAATGTAAAGTAATTGCATACTTTTGGAGACTTGGAGTTTATTTGTTTTCTTAAAATTTGAGTAGGGTTATCAAACGTGTATTCATTATACGTAGTACTAAGTATGTAATGTAATTCTTAAATACCGAGTATATTCAGTGCATTTCAATACGAAATGATTTTAAGATGTGTATATTGAGATAGGGTCAGAAATGAGAAATGAACAGATGAACTGTATGGAGATGTAAGATAAAATTAAATCTCTTATAAAAGACGCAAACAATTATAGAGCTTGTGCATTGGATCCAAAAATCATCTTAAATTTGATAAGTTTTCAATTTTAAGAGTTGCGCATACAATGAATTAAAATTATATTTCCTTGTACTCCGTAATTAGCAATTTAATAAATCTATAATTCACGCACAAGTAAAGATAATGCCTCTAAAACTAAAAGGGACCGAACTGTAAAATCAAAAAATCCATTTGCACATAAATAAAAATTATTAAACCCAAAGATATGCAGGAGAAATATGTCGATTCTTGAAGGTCCCTACTGCAAGAAAACCTTCTTAGTCCTTTTACCCGTCGATTTAATAAGCTTTGACCAAAACCCTTCCTTCTTCTTCCCGCCGCCGCGACCTCGCCCCTGTTTTCTCGCCGCAAAAGCGATCGATCTGCTCTTCTTCAACCCGCCTTCACATCCGCCGCCACCCATCGAAACAAAAGAGAACCGGCCCGCCACGTCGGACGTTATCCGGCGATGGCCGCGGGGAGAGCCGCAGCCGGAAGCAGAGGAGGATGAGGCGGAGTAGTAGCCGCAGTTCTCCGCCGGAGATGAAGAGAGGGATGTACCGGAAGACACCGAGGCGGCGCCGGAGATCTTGGAGAGCCGCTCCCTGAGGCAACAAGAACAGACGCCCGGCGGCTGTTTGTGGTCCGGGTGTCTCCGGCAGATGGCTTCCGGCTTCGACCACTCCATACAAGCGTGCGGGTATTGCCGGCGGATTAATTATTACGAAGTAATTAACTAAAAAAACAGAGGAAAATAGAGAATATATAGGGACAGATCGAAGAGATTGAGATTGGGGATCGGAAAGGTTTGGTTGTTTCGAGGATGATTCCGTCAAGTGGTCAAACTCTCGCGGTGGACTTCGTAGTAATTGCGGTATATCATGCACCGTGTGAGACGTAACCGACTAATAATGTCTAATTTAAATTGAGTACATATAAGTGTTGTTCGTCTTAATCTTATTACTTATTACTTATTCTTATTTTATTCAGATCAGATCAGAAAAATTCAAATCAGATCAGAAAGATTCAGATCAGATTAGATAGATTCAGATCAGATCAGATAGATTCAGATCAGATCAGAAACATTCAGATCAGATCAGGAACATTCAGATCAGATCAGGAAGATTCAGATCAGACAAGAAAAGTTCAGACATGATTTATCCTTTTTATTATAATAATAATAATTATAATAATAATAATAATTATAATAATTATAATATTTATAATAATTATAATTATTATTATTCTTGTTGTTGTTATTGTAATTAGTATAATTAATATTATTATTGATATTATTATTATTATTATTAGTATTATTATTATTATTCTTATTATTATTTTTATTATTATTGTTGTTATAATTATTATTATTATTATTGTTGTTGTTGTTGTTGTTATTGTTATAATTTTTATTATTGTTGTTGTTATTATTGTTATTATTATTATTATTATTATTATTATTATTATTATTATTATTATTATTATTATTATTATTATTATTATTATTATTATTATTATTATTATTATTATTATTATTATTATTATTATTATTATTATTATTATTATTATTATTATTATTATTATTATTATTATTATTATTATTATTATTATTATTATTATTATTATTATTATTATTATTATTATTATTATTATTATTATTATTATTATTATTATTATTATTATTATTATTATTATTATTATTATTATTATCATTATTATTATTATTATTATTATTATCATTACTATGATTACTATGATTATTATTATTATGATATTTATTATTATCATGATTATTATTATTCTTACTACTAATATGGTTGTTGTTGTTATTGTTATTAGTTTTGTTTTCGTTATTATCATATTATACGGAGTAATTACAATTTAAATTATAGAAATAAATATTTTAATTATAATTAAAATTATAATTATAGAAATAAGTATAACTATAAATATAATTACAATTATAATTATAGCTATATTTATAACTAGTGTAATACGTATAATAATAATTATACCTATTATAATTGTGTTTGTAATTATAATTATAATTTTTATAATTATAATTATAATTATAATTATAATTATATTTAAAATATATATGTGTAATTACATTTATAATTATAGTAATTATAATTGTAATTATAATTTTAGAAATATTTAAATCAGATCAGATCAGAAAAATTCAGATCAGATCAGAAGGATTCAGATCAGATCAGGAACATTCAGATCAGATCAGGAACATTCAGATCAGATCAGGAACATTCAGATCATATCAGAAAGATTCAGATCAGATCAGAAAGATTCAGATCAGAACTTAAAAAATTCAGATCAGAAACATTCAAATCAGGTGAAGAGAACAACTTCTAATTCAAATCAGATGAGTTAGGTTCTTAGCGATATAATTTGATCATTTATTTATATTTAAACAAGTCTATTATATTGTGCAATTGGCTGTATGGTTTATTAGCTGGAACTTCTGTTAACTGAGTATTAGTGCACTTGTAGTAAGAAGCAAATCATTCTATTGACCATTAAAAGTTTAATGTTGAATGATCTTTGCTTCACAGTTTTTAATTCATTTTCTTTTTCTTATTTATTTTTATATGATTTTTTTATAAATTATATTTATGTTCAAATCTTATGAGTTTCAATATGCGAATGTAATTTAATATTTTCTTTTTATCCTGGTAGACAAACCACCCAATGGTGGGATAAATGCCAGATAACATTTACCTTTTATATTAAAAATTAAAAAAAACATACAGAGCAAGAGGGGGATTACGCGGTTACACCAAAAGCTCTCAAAAGGCATACCTTCTAAAAATATGTGAATGGAAAAATATGATTAAAAAGTACATGAAAGGAAAACCAATAAAATTTTGGCGGCTATACCTGACCCAAAATTAAAAATGCATGAATTAAAAAAGAAAATATGGTAAAGCAAATAAATCAACATGATAGCTTGTTTTAACGGCATGTGGCAAATGACCCACTTGATAAAAAATACAATTTGTGTTGTGTTAATCTATTGACCCGCTAAGTTGTGGGGCAGCCCATTCCCTTCTCTCTAAACATGACTGAAGGACAGATCCATTTCCCCCGCGGCCCCGCCTTTCTTCTAAACGTCCGAAGCAAAACACACCTTCCTAATTCATCATCCTTGAGCAAAGACAACACCGTGTAGCATTGGTCTCCACCTGAATGTCAACAAATTCCTTCTCTATTGCCATCTTGGAAGCAAAAATCAAAGCTTGCATCTCCGCCTCCTCACTCGACTCCACCTGAATCTTGAAATTAATAGCCCATATCAACTCTGCAATGTTGTTCCTTAAAATGGTTCCTCCCGTTTTTGAAACAGGTACAAACGAAGCGTCTACATTCAATTTATAGTCCTTCGTAGGCCTCTTCCACTTAATAAGCTAACATCCCGACTTGAGAAACTTGAAGCTAGCCGGAATTAGATTTTCGTGCATAATAAATCCCTCAATCTTCCTCCGTTTAATTGTTTCCAGCATATATGCCCATTTCTTTATGTATAGTTTAATCTGGAAAATGAGATGTTCTATGGCTGGAATACTACCGTTTCCTCAAGTATCAGAGGAGTAAACCTTCCAAATGTGCCAACAAATAACACCGGTTAGGTTGTGTTTAAAAATATCAACCAAGGTTTTAGAACCTGCTTTTAACCACCGTAGTTAATACGTAGTGTAATTTAAAAATGACCAAGGAAAAGAAAACAATGTTTTCAATTTAACTATACCCTATGAAATATTCAGAATTTTGTAATAGAAGTGATTTTGTACTTCAAAGACAATGTTCTGAAAAATATTACCTTCTTCCCAAAAAACAATTACCGTTGGTCCCAAATAAACTTCACTTTCCTTTTAGGAATCCAAAATAAAGTTCACACTTTTTTTTGTTAAGTTTTTAATAGGACAGTATAAAGTTACCTTTATACTCTTACTTTTGTAACCTATACTCCACGCACTTTCTCTCTCCCACCACATTTAATTTACTTTTGTAGGGGTATGTTAGGAAAGTCAAAAGCAAAAATTTCATTTTCTTAAAAACCGTAAAGTCAAAGTGTGAAGTTTATTTGAGGATCGGACGGAGTAAAATTTGGTACTTTTAATCGACTACTATACGGAGTACACAATTAAGGTGTAAAATATTACTAACTAATATCATATGAAAAATGTGACTTTAGTTTTTGTCTAGGACACCAAATCAGCTAAAGACGAGCTAAAGACGGCCCAGCACCAAAGCTTTTGACGGGGTTGATCTTGTTATCTCTATTCCAGTGTTGGAGATGGTGGCAAGGTGGACTATATTGTTTAGCCTGTGCAGTGATTTCATTAACAAAAGCATTTTGGGTTTTCTCTACCAGTAATAGCCGGTCAATGTTCATTGCCGTCAAACTCCCATTTTCTCTTATCTTCCTCTGTTCCTCACGTTCTCTTCCAAGAAAGTCACTTCTTGCAAACTGTAATTATTCATCTCTGCATTCTTCTTGGTCAATTTTTTTCGTGTCCAGAATCTAAGGCCTTGACCTTACTTTGCGAGTTGGAACCTTATGTGACTGAACCGCATAATTACTGAAATGAAATCCTCGTTTTTAAGCTTAGCACCGGCTTCGGTGATTATGAACGTGTATTGTCTTGAGAAACTTCCGATGGTCGAGGTTGTTAAGACTGCCATCGTTTCGGTCATTGTGAAGGTATGCCGGTGTTTTTCGTTAAAGGATATAATAGGAATAAAAATAATTTTATTTATTAAAAAATATATATGTGATTGTGCTATAATTCCAAGGTATATATGAACGATAAAGCAAAAGAGAAGAGTAATTTTGGTGAATTCTATTCTCAATGCATCGAGCCTTTTTGGCCGAAATAAATAATAAGGGTTTACAAGATTAGCTCCTATAATTTTGGAGTAGATTTAGAAACAAATAAGGAGACAATCATTATAATAATAATAATAATGCTACCAAAAATAATAAACAATGGCCCGTATGGTCCGTAATACCCCTCAAGTTGGAGCATGAGGATTTAAAATGCCCAACTTGCAAAGAAGGAAGTGAAACTAAGATTTTCCAAGAGCTGTAGTGAAGATGTCCGCGAGCTGTACAGTGGTGGGAACATAGGCAGGAGCAATAAGTCCCTCATGAATAGCATTGCAGACGAAGTGACAATCAACTTCATTGTGCTTTGTGCGTTCATGGAATACTGGATTGCATGCAATATGAATAGCCGATTGACTATCACAATGAAGGGGAATAACACGTTTATGATTGATACCAAGGCTGAGAAGCAAAGCCTTTAACCACTTTAGTTCACTCGTTGCTGCTGCCATAGAGCGGTATTCCGCTTCAGCAGACGAGCGAGAAACCACCGTCTGCTTCTTGGTTTTCCAAGAAATAGAAGAGTGACCAAGAAAAACAACCCAGCCAGAAATGGACTTGCGAGTAAGAGGGCATGCCGCCCAATCTGAATCACACCAACTGGTGAGGGAAAGGCCACTATCTGCCTGAAGTAAAATGCCTTGCCCAGGAGAGCCCTTTAGGTAGCGAACCACATGGAGAGCAGCATACTAGTGTTCTTGGCGAGGACTGTAAAAATTGAGACGATATATGTATCGAATATGCTAAATCCGGACGCGTCACAGCCAGATAAACAAGACGTCCAATGAGACGTCGATATGGTTCTGGATTATTTAAAAGAGGTC